TTCTTTTTGCCCCCCCCCCCCCCCCCGCACTTCCAAAGTTCTGGCTGGTTGGTGCCTACCGTTTTTGTCCTCTGAGAAAGCTTTTGAGGTCCAGAAGCATTCTTGAGAATAAAGAGAATGATGGAGGCCGGTCTGTGGTTTTAGAGCAGTGTTTCCCAACTTTGGCAGTTCCACAGCCAGCATGGCCATTGGTGAGGATTCTGGGAGTTGAAGTCTGCACGCCTCGAAATTGCCGAGGTTGGGAACACTGCCTTAGGGCATGCCAGTGTCTGGCTTGTTAAATGCAAGGAATCAGGTGGGGCAGAGAATCCAGAGCATACCAAGGGAGATGGTTATGGGCATGTTGACACACTGAGTGTCACATTGGTGACTCCAAGAATAGTATATAAAGGCAGAAGTGCTGGTTGTTTATGGGTCTTTGTGATATCTTGTTTGCATCTCCTTTTCTGTTGTAAAAAAGAGGAAATACACGTATGGTTAAATTTGAGCTTCCCATATACTTGGCTTTGTCCTCTGCTTTATTCTAATTTAAAATATTGCAGGTTGATGCATAGTGAGAGGAGAACATTCTTTCTTCAGCGTGACAGTCCTTAGTTGTCTGTTTGGTTATAGGCTGGCTGATTAGGATAAGACTGGAGTGCATCATTTGGCAGAGTTTGTTATAAAGAAAGTTTTCCGTTATATTGAACTTTTGAATTGAGCCTTTCCGGTTACTTGGTCTGTGTTCTACAAACAGTTGACCTACCATCATAATGTGCATGTTATGAGAGGGCTGGCTGCGTATTCAAGGGCTGTGATAGTGGTAGTAGCTTACTTTCTGTGTGTTTCTCCTGGGGAAAATGTTAGTGAATCGTAGTCATAGCAAACACCTGGATATTCCTCATTGTTTCCGCAATATATTTTAAAGATGGGCTTGAAACATGCCAGTTTTGAAATCATTACAGGTTTCCTTGGTAATGCCCTTCTTTTGAGAGCGCCTCTTCGGATATGGTTTGGGTTTTCCTAAGTGTTTCTCCTGCGTAGCATTGTTTTGTGAAAGTTGAGCACAGGCGTAAGTTCAGTTCTGGAGGCTGAATGCCTGGTGTGGAATCTAAAGCTTGGCTAACTCATAAAACTAAAAATGTAATGTGAAAGAGGCTAAACTCGGCCAGAGGCGAATCTGGCATCCGTTGTGGTTTGGTTTCAGAGGTTATGTCTCCTGGAACCTGGCATATCAGCTTCTTCCAACTGGGAGAGCCAGAAGGAACTCCCCACTTAAACCAAACGGAGTTTCCTTTCTAACTACTTCTGAAGGAAGAATTCATCGCACGGGCACCCTTCCAACAAATGGCAGGTGGTTTGCCCGGATCAGCTGCTCAATAGCTTCATGGTACATAAGTCAGATTTTGGCTCTGTCTTGTCACACAACATTTCTGGAGAAGTTTGGTTTGCCTGTTGCTTTTTCAGTTGTGCCTGGGTTGGAACAGCAGCATTGCAAAGAAGCTCAAAGTTTGTGGTCTGAGTTTAATGTGGGTGCTAAATACTGTTATACGCTCACTGGGTTTTTCTCTTCTTCTTTTTTCACCAGTTCTGTGATCATGAAAAAAGCCAGATTGCATAGTGGTGGAAAGAAAGAATCTACTTGGCAGCATAGCAGGTACATTTCTAACTTCTGTACTTTATGCATCACCTGAAGTGTTTCTGTCTTGATCTGTAGATGAAAAACAGGGTGGTGGTGGACTGTACCTCTGCAGATGGAAGATGGTGTATTTTTATGCAGCTCCTCAGCATTGAACTCTTCAGGAAGAAAGATTCTATCTTAAACTTTTTCCTGTGTTACTAATTTTCTACTTACAGGAAAGAGTCTTCTGTGTAGGTGCAAATATTAAAAATGTGGCTTTGAACTTGCAGTAGGCAATCTATGCTACTATCTTATTTTCATCTTTTTCTACATCCAAATCCAAGTCATTTTTAAAGCATATTTCTATTTTAGAGCAACCTAGTAGCTGAAAAGGTCTTGAACACCTCTTTTCTGCAGGCGTATTCTGCAGTAGGTCAAGCTGAAGGGCAGTATCCTGTTCTGTGGCTTTGAAAACAACTTGTAAGCTGCATACATGTTCATCACCATATGATGAGTTTTACAGGAGGGGAGACATGATTGTGCGGAGAGAGATCAGTGAAAACTTCTGTTTAGAAAAAAAAACAACTTGAAGTCTCTCAAGGAAAACAACATTTCACAGAGGTGATGGGCAGAAGTGACCTCCTCCTCCTCCTTAGGAATCGGCTTCCATTTTGGCTTCTTGAAAGCTACTTGAATGTGGCCTCCCTCCCTGTCTGTGAATGTTGCTGAATTTCGCATGGAAACTACCAGTGTCTTTGGTCCTATTTTATTATAGAATGTTAAGGTATAGCTTATCTTTGGCCACGCTACAGGTATTCAGGCGAGAGTAGCAGTTGAATATCCAATAGGTGTTACGTGGAAGATCTCACCTGTGGCAGATGGCAGAGTGTGTGTTGTGTCAATATTAAAAGCTTCCCCGGAGATCACTTGACAAGCTCCGAACAGCTGCTAGGAATCTAAAGGACCATGGTTTCCTCTCTGAATCTGCTCAGCATTTGGCATTTGCTGCAGAGGCTCTTTTCTATGCTCCATTTCCTGAAGTTTCTGGGTAGAGGGTTTTTTTTATTGATAATACTCTAATTTTTGAGTATCAAAATCTTTGCCTTTGATATGTATGTCTGGTCCCACATTCATTTTTCTTGAGGCATCGAGCAAAATCTGCCCTGTTCTCTCACCCTTGTAAAAGGGCCTGAACAAGCCAGTCTTTTTTCATCTGGTTTCCTAATGCATGTCAACCTGTTTTCCTTTTCTGATCACCCCTGCAATCCGCCTTGAGGCCTATGCAAAAACCAGGGATAAAACATCTTTTATCAGTCCTATTGTGTAACACAGCCAGTAGTTGATCCAATTGATTTGAAGGAATAAAGGGCGACTTAGAAAACTACTGATTAATACGTTGGCTGGGGAAAGTGGCATGCTTTCCAAGTCAGAGTTGTCAGGCAGGTCTTAATTTTTTTCCCCATTTGTTGTTGTGGATTCAGTCTGCTTCAGTCTGTGTTTCAGGGAAAGCTAGCTCTGAATAAGAACCTTAGAGTGGTTCTTAAAGGCATCTCTAAGCTGAGCACTGCCTTGTGGAAATAAGAAATCCAGGCTGTGCGCACTGAGCAAGGAAGGGTGTTGTAACTCTCAGTTTTTAATTCAGACTTGCAAAGGTCCCTGTTTCTGGAACTTTAAGCAAGCATTCTCTGGATGATCATGCTTTTTGTTTTAATGTGACAAGGTCGCCCCTGTCGTTTTCTGATGGCGATGAAGTGAGAATGCGCCTCACTGGGTGGCTTCAGAGTCAGAACTGGGGAATTCCTGGTGAGGTGTGTCAGAAGACCAGTTTGTTCCACAATGTCTTTGTTTCAAGATACATATTGAAAATGATGCAGATTGGCCGTCAGTTGTGTGGGGCACCTGGAATTCAGGATCAGGAGTTGGCTGGGGAGCAAAGGGAACATTTCCCCAAATCCATGTTTTTTCTTTGTCTAGTTTGACAGGAGCACCCATGTAGAACTGGAAGCAATTGTGCCTTGCACGATCCCGCTGTCATGCACGTTAGCACCTAGTGTGAAACAGGATGTCTCAACAAGCAAATATTGGGGATCTTCTCCCCATGCTGGATTCTCCAGTCCTGGCTGCCCTGGAAGATATAATGGCTGCGTTTAGAGACAACCTCGCTTCAGGTGGGTTTTTATGGTGGACTACTCTCGCATTTTATTCTGCCTAGATCACCACCAGGGAGGACCAGAACTTTCATATCCTTCAGAATTTGGTGGGAACTGGGAAGAGAATTACAAGATGTAAGCAGCTTCCCCGGTTGCAGACGGGGGCCTTTTTAATGCAGCCTCTTGCAACCTGATGCTCCCCAGTGTATTGGATGACACATCACATGACTCCCAGCCAGCAGGACTCTTGGACGCATTAGGTGGGGATTATATGAGTCGAAGCCCAGCACATCTGGGATATTAGGGGAAGGATATCTGTACTGATGATCTGGGTTTAACTTGACACGTGTTCTGCAAAATTACACAACCAGAAATGAGAAAACCCCATGCTCCTCTGGGTGTGTGCAAAGAGTGTTGTGTAGTTTAGCTCAAATGAAGCTTGCTTAGGAAGGTGACACATACCCCCAAT